TCTTATGCCAGTACCAAGCTGTTTTGATTACTATGGCTTTGTAGTAGAGTTTGAAATTTGGTATTGATATTCCTCCAGCACTGTTCTTTCTGTTGAGGATCGTTTTTGCTATTCGGGGTTTTTGATTGTTCCATATGAATTTTTGGATTGCCTCTTCTATTTCCTTGAAGAATGAGGTTGGAATATTAATAGGTATCGCATTGAATTTGTAGATAGCTTTAGCAAGCATTGCCATTTTCACGATGTTGATCTTTCCAATCCAGGAGCATGGGAGTTTTTGCCACTTTCTAAGTTCTGTTTTGATTTCCTTTTTCAAGTTTTTAAAGTTTTCATCATAGAGGTCCTTCACTTCTTTGGTTAAGTTAATTCCTAGGTATTTTATTTTTTGTGGGGCTATTATGAATGGAGTTGCTTTCCTAATTTCAGCCACACTTTTCTTATTGTTGGCATACAGAAAACCATTGATTTTTGAGGGTTAATTGTATAAAGGGAGCTAATTTCATACAATACACATGCAGTAGTAGCACAGTGTTAACAATGAGAGACACAATGCTGCCTCCTACCAGCATCAGTTTCTCAAAAATATGAGAGTGAGTTAAAGTTACAATTTACAATCCTTATTTAAGTCTATACTGAGAGGGTTAGAAGAGGAAGGGTGACAGCATATAGATTATAGGGAGTTTAAAGACTTTTTGTGCTTTAACAATCTTTCTTTATAGGAAAATCTCTCTGGTCTATACCAGACAAAATTTACCCTATGCAATTAAAAAAATACTAATTACAGCTGGGCACTGGTGACTCACAACTAATCCTAGCTACTCAGGAGGCTGAGCTCTGAGGATTGTGGAAACAGACTGGGAAGGAAAGTCTGTGAGACTCCTATCTCCAATTAATCACTCAAAAGCTGGAAGTGGGGCTGTGGCTCAAGTGGCAAAGCCCTAGCTTTGAGCAAAAAAGCTCCGGGACAGTGCCCAAACCCTGACTTCAGCACTAAACAAATAAATACTGATTCCCTTCCTTCCTCTACAATATGAGAGGCAATATGCTAGGCAAGTACAAGGCCCTGCTTAAAAAACAAGCAAAGAACAAGCAAACAAACCACACAGTCTGTAATAAAAAACATGATCAGAAGAGTTAAGAGGGGAAAAAATAATACTCTAACAAAGCTATATTAGGGTATCACTGTGTTAGGCACTAGACCTAGGAATGAACAAGGCACTAAATTCTTCTAGTTTAGTTGTATCTGCAAATATACTTACGATTCCATATCCTATCATGCCTGTTGGTGTAGTAGCAGGATAGGCCATTACTGGGGGTGCCTAACATGGTGAAAGGAAAAAATAAGGAAATATAACTCATGTTTATCCAAGAATAGGTATAGTTCCACTAAGAGAAAAAGAATTGTTAAGACAGCTGTAATTAAGTGACATTTTGATCAATAACTGTCAATTAATGCTCAGTGAAAAAGCAAAATTGTTAAAAAGAAAAAAATCATTTAAACTTAAGACAAAACCATGTTTTAAGATTTCAACATACTTTTATAGCTTTAAAATCTTTGCTAGAGCACATGCCTAGTATGTGTAATACCTTGGGTTTCATCCCCATCATATCCTCAAAAAAGTTTCAAAAGCTTAAAAATATTAAACTAAAATTTAGTCATTCAGTTTATAAAAAATGTCTGCCAAAACAAGTTTATTTCTTAAGAACTGGAAGAAAAAATTTCTAAAGATTTCTAATCAACTAATAAATTGATCTTCAAAAAATATTTATTTTCTAAGGACCTCATTCATTGTTATTGAAGAACTCCAAAAAGATTACAAATCACTAAGTATGATTATCTCTACAAAACACAGTTCTTACATAAAGAGTATGTATGCTAACTTTCTAATTTATTCCAAACATTATTAAAAATTATTCCTTCAGAGAAATGAATTTTTTTTTTGGTCAGTTGTGGGGCTTGAACTCTAGGCCTGGGTGCTGTCCCTCAGCTCTTCAGCTCAAGGCTAGCACTCTACCACTTGAGCCACAGTACCAGTTCTAGTTTCTGGTAGTTTATTGGAGATAAGAGTCTCAAGGACATTACTGCCTGGGCTGGCTTTGAACTGTGATCCTAAGATCTCAGCCTCCTGAGTAGCTAGGATTACAGGTGTGAGCCTCTGGCACCCAGCTTAGAAATAAACATTTTTAACTCAGTTTATATTTTAATAATTAAAGAATCATTGACAACTAAGATATTTAAGTTCTTGTAGATAAACAATTGGTAACAGAATTATTATTGATACAATGGCTGTCTTAACATTCCCTGTGTGTTTCTTACAATAAAGACTAAAACTGAGTACTGGAGAAAGACCAATAACACTGCTGAAACAAACAAACAAAAAAAAGGTGGGGGCGTGGAATTATATGGCAATTTGAACATATGCATGGAGAAGTTAAATGAAGCAAACATTTTTTAAAAAGTAATATTAAAGTGAATAGTTAAAAGTTAGGGCTTGGGTAAGCATGAAGGGCTTATTGGTCTCTCCCTACTGAAAAATCAAAATCTACAAGAGCAGTGAGACAAACTGCCAAGTATAGCAGAAGCCTATAAGATTACATGCAGTTGTTATCTTAAACATTACCACAATCAACATTTCCCTTCATTCAGAAGTCATCAAGTGCAGAGTGGCAGCACAGACACACAGACACCCAGCCATCTGGCAGCAAATGGCGGAATATTAAGCAAGAAAAGAAAAACTGGTGTTTCCCATGCCATCATCAGAATCAATTCTGCAACACACCCATGAAATCAGTAGATGCTAGGAGGAATTTTTGAAACACTGAAAATCTGAATGTGAAAACAATAGCTGGAAGGTTATGAGATTCTGCTGCAGCAGTGGTTAATAGCATGCCAATTTATTGCAAAAAAAGTCTAGTTTTTGGTCACTTACGTATTGTGGAAAATGCATGCCATTCTGTTTTTCCCAGGGAGAACAATTACATAATGCAATAACATTGGATTAGAACAAGTACTTACACAACAAAATACACAGAGCATTTTAGTTAACATGTACATTCACTAATTACCTAAAATCCCTTGCATCTCCAATATCTAATGAAAGGACATCTTTACCAAAACAGTATCAAGGTTGACAAGGGAAGGTGAAAATTTTACCTCATTTTTCTGTATATAGATACAATAGGTCAACGATGACAAAGGTTATTAAGACAACATGGGTAAGTACAGTCAATAGTGCAGAATTCAGCTGCATCAGATGTCTACCACAAAAGGTTTTTAAATGCACCATTGAAAAGAATTTTTAGTGTAACATAGACTTTAATAAATTTCTAATTTGTTTTAAATTTATTTATAAACCTTGACAGTGCTTTTTAAGGATTAAAAGGTTAGAAATATAAACAAACATCATAAGCAGCAGTTTATCTTAAAGTTGTGAATCACAACATTATTAGTTCTATATGTTAGCCTAAAAAGAAACTATAACCCATCAATATTGAACAAAACCTCTGTAAGAGATTACATATAATCCCACACACCCGACAGTAACATAAGCATTCCTATGGAATTAGAACTGGCAAATTCTGAATGGTTAATACCTCTAATTCTACTGACCAATCCTAAAAGCCAAAGTGCTATCTAAACACAAAATATTTTAGTTTTATACGGATTTAATATAACATAAGCAAATCCTCACTGCACTTTAATATAAGGGTTAATATTTATATGATTTAAAGTATGTGGAAGTGAAACTGTAGTGCAAAGTGGTAGTGCCCTATCCTTGAGCACAAAAAGCTCAGGGATAGCATCCAGGTCCTAAGTTCAAGCCCTGGACTGACAAAAAAAAATAAAATAAAAATTAGAAATATTGTGTATAACTCATACCTGACTATAAAACCCACTAGCTAGTAAAGCCCATGGTAGTGAGAGAAACATGGATTCTGAATCAAGAGTTCGATTTAAACTTACACCCGTGGTTCAAGTGTTTTAAAGGTGAAAGAAAATCATAGTTTTATACTTAAGATAGGGACAATGCTCAAACTTTCCAAAGAGAATATTACTTAAAAGATAAAGTTAAACCATGTACACATGTGCATATAAAAAATAATGAAAATGAAAGGTTTTATTATTATTGATGGCAGTGATAATTATCTATAGGAAAATGTCATCTTAAAAAGGTGGCTAAAACTGTGAGCCAGTGGATCATGTCTATCATCTTAGTTACTCAAAAGACTAAGACGGGAGGATCATGGTTTGAAGCCAGCCTGGGAAGGTTAGTCCATGAGACTCTTATTTCAAATTAACCACAAAAAAGCCAGAAGTGGAGTTGTGGTTCAAGTGGTAGAGTACCATCCTTGAACCAAAAAAGCTCAAAGATAGCACTTAGGCCCTGAGTTCATGTCCCAGTATCAGCAACCCCAACTCTTGCCTCCCCCGCAAAAAGTAGCTAAATTTAAGTGCTATTTTCATGTTATTTTTAGTTCAGCCCTATTGTGTTGTGTATGTATATGTGTGTGATTCAAAATAAAGAGGACAATATCCCAGAAGAGACTTAATGATGAGAATTTGCTCCATCAAAGATAGTCAAAATCTCTAATAGCCTGTGTAATCAAAGCCCACTGACCCATTGTTAGAAAACAAGAACTCAAAATTTTCAACTAGGGCTATCTTTTTTCTCTTATTAGCAAGGCAGCAAGCAGGCCAAGGACAGGGAAATAACCACAAAGCTATTCTGGACCTAACAAGTTAAGAGTAATTAAAACATTACTAGAACCTTCTTCAGTACTAGAAGCTATTTAATATATACTGAGGATTAATAGCTGATCCCCATTACTTTGGATTTCCTATTTGCAAATCTATGTACTAAATCTTATAACCTCAATATCACTACTTGTGGTCATTGATGCACATGTGCAGAGGAGAAAAAAAACTGAGTTGCCAAATACAGCTCACTTCCAGCTAAGGTATAACAGAGAAAGTTGGGGAGGAAGGAGATATTACAGTGATTTGCAAGAAGTTCTGGGGCCAGATAATCCAGGTTAAAATTCAAATGCTGGCATTGGTTAGTGGAATGGCCTTATTTTATTTTGTAAAATAAGGAAATCAGAATCTAGTGGAATGAAGGATTTAAAATTACAGTATGTGAGATATATGAATATATGTACATATTTTCCCTAGTAATGGGTTAGTTACTAGTTTCATGTGACTTTAAATTATTACTATCAGAATAAAGCTCAACTCATTAAAAAAAATCATATTAACAAGAACTAAGAAAATACAAAGATTGAAAAATAATAATGGTACCAGGAGCTGGTGGCTCATGCCAATTATCCTTGCTACTCAGAAGGCTGATATCTGAGGATCATGGTTCAAAGCCAGCCAGGGCAGCAAAGTCCATGAGACTCCTGTCTCCAAAAAAGCTGGAAGTGGATTGTGGTTCAAGTGATAGAGCACTAGCCTTGAGCAAAAGAAGTTCAAGGGCAAAGGCCAGACCCAGAGTACAAGCCACAGGACCAGGCAAAAAAAGTGTGATATGAACAAAAATCAGATTTTATATTACAACAAGTAATACATTTAGAGCAACAATATGTAGTAGTGATTAAGAGCACAGCTCCCAAGATCCTGAGTTCTAAAACAGCACAGTCACCTAAGAGCTCTGTGATGTGGGGCATACTTCTTAACTGTGCCTCTATTTCCTCATCTATAAAATCCAGAGACTAATAGTTCCTACCCCACAGGGTTCACTCCTATAAGGATTATACCAAATAAGATCGTATATTATTTATTAAAATGATGCAAAAAATGCTCCGCACAATGTAACCTTTAAATATGTTAGGTACTGAAATGTACCTGGAAAATAGTCAACAACTTAAAAAAAGGAATTAAGAATTCAATGCTAAAACTCTCAATGGTCTTTCCATTTTGTGATTACTTTACATTTTTCAAGCTATATACATGATTAAATATTCAGGTGTTACTATATATCAAGTAGTATATAATTAGCATATACCAACTCACCATTGTTGCAGCATTCCAAGCAGTTGTTGGAGCAACCTTTGGTTGCCAGTTAGACCCTCCAGTTAACTTCTTTTCACCTGGCTGGCTCCAATTTACATCACTTTAAATAAACATAAGTAAGGATATTAAAAGACACATCATAAAATTTTGTATAGTACTTAGAGTAAACAGAACATTTATGATGTAGACTCAGAGATAAAAGCCAACTCAACTTCAAAACAACACATAGGAAAGAATACAAAGAAAATACTTACTTCTTAGTAGTGGTTCCATTTCCAATGCCAAGATCTAGGAAAGGAGAAAAAGAAAACATTTTAAAACTAGATTTAATTTAATAAAACAACTTAAAGATGAGCAAAGAATCCAAACTCTACTTACTTCCCACAAGGTTGGCTAAAGACGAATCCAAGTCATCAGACACTAATTTGTTAGGTGGAAGTTTGGCAACAGGAAGACTCTGATTCTGAGAGGCCACTGTTGGTTTGAGAAGTCCACCTAGTTCATCAAAGCCTTAAAGTTACAAACAGACGAAATAGGATTTGTAAGGAACTTTATAGTGCTACAGCTTTCTAAAAGAGGTCCTTCCTTTTCTCCTTGTTTACTGGAAAAGTTCTCTCCAAAAAACCAACATAACAAAACCAGGGCATTAGTAAATATCTTTGATGGAAAGTTTACCCCTCAAAGTGAACTGATTGAGAAAGCTGCACTTGCTTTGACAGACCATTTAACAAAATTATAGTAAGGGGAAGGAAATGAAACATAATTCTTCCCCTGGCCTCAGAATACTCAGTTATGCATAAAGCAATATAAGTAGAAAATAGATATCTGCAACTTTGCAAAGTTTGTTTTGAGAAATCGTATTTGTGGAACTGTTTCATACTCTTCAAAGTACAAAGTATATAAATTAACCTCAAGTATACCTATGCAATAATAGAACTAATAGCATAAACTCACCTAAAAGTATTTCTTGAAAATGGAAATCAAATTCCTAAGGTTCTTCACCAAAGGGTAAATGATAAATGCAAATTCCACCAAATAAAAGTACTCAGGCACTTAATGGTATAATAAAATGTTATGTGGTAAAATAAAAAATATATGATTAGCTGGGTGCCAGTGGCTCAAGCCTGTAATCCTAGCTACTCAGGAGGCTGAGATCTGAGGATCACGGTTCAAAGCCAGCCTGGGCAGCAAAGTCCATGAGACTCTTATCTCCAATAAAAAACACTAGAAAACCAGAAGTGGCACTCTAGCTCAAGTGTTAGAGCGCTCGCCTTGAACTGAAGAGCCGAGGGATAGTGCCCAAGCCCAGAGGTCAAGACTCCTCCCCCCCAAAAAAAAGATTATAAAACAATTATAGTGAATAAAAATAAATTCTTGGGCTAGAGAGGTGACTGAAGTAGTACAGTACTAACAAGTACAAACCCCAGTACCACCAAAAGAACCTATATATACATTTAACACATATTCCACACACTTAAATGCGTTTCTTCTATGGACAACTATATGTTATACAAGTAAGAATATAAGTTATTTCTTTTTGAGAAGTTCGGGGCCTCAAACTTGTAGGCAGGCACTTATACCAGCCAACATCCCTAATTCATAAGCTAAATTTTAATTACCAGGCCAAAGTCAATGGTCGTCTCATAAGAAGAATGTGGTCTAAATTTGATAAAAACTTTATAAATTTTAAATTACTAGAAGCACAAAGTACAAATTTTTCCCTACAGTCAAGAAGTTCTTTTAAGACAAATGAATAAACACGATATAGTAACAATCACTCTTAACAATAAGAGCTCCTATACCCACAGACTTTGTATATTCTAGCTATATATAGATTATCAAATAAGCCAAGATATACATTTATATCTACCAGCTCAAAAGCAGCTGGTAGATATCTTACAATTTCATACAGTAAGATATACAAATTATTATTCATTATGACTAAGAAGGCACAGCATTCTATAGTCATTAGCCACTTAGCATACTATTAAAATCTGTTTTGCTCTCTTACTTTGTTGTGGTACAAAAGCTTTCCCAATCTAAAACTATCACCAAGAATACATCCTTGCCAGGTGCTAGTGGCTCACACCTGTCATCCTAGCTTCTCAAGAGGCTAAGGTTTGAGGATCATGGTTCAAAGCCAGTCTGCTAAGAATATGATCTCTAATTAACTAAAAAAAAAAAAAAAAAAAGCAAAAACAGAGCTGCAGCTCAGGAATAGCATCTACCCTCTAGTTCAAACCTCAGCAATGGCAGAAAAAATAAGTCCTTGAGGTTCTAATCTAGTAGCCTGGGGAAAGGTAGCCAATTTCATTGGCTACTTCAATTTAATCTACTTAGAAATGCTAAAAGTAGCTCTACCTGTCCTTACACAGAATGTACACTATGGTACATTTCATAAAAAATTGTTTTCTTACCGCCAGAATCCACAATAATGTTTGTAGACTTATTTCCAAACACAGATTCAAAGTCAACATTAAGGCCAGTTGAAGGATGTGGCTGTGCAACTGGAGAAGGAGTGAATCCTGAAAAAAATCAAAATGTAAAAAAGCTCAATTCTTTACCCATTAAATGTATATATATATATTTAATAATTGGCCAACAGGTGAAAAAGTAAATTCTCTAGTCAAAAAAATCAATGCCATATTTTTATGGTGATTACTTTTTTCCTAACAAAATCATCTACCAAGAAAACAACGAACTGACATCAAATTACTGGTTTGCTTCATTATAGGAATAAACTTTTGCTATCTTTTACCTTAATTTTGTATGTTGTAATCTCTTATAAATCAAAGCCATCTGAACTCTAGGATTTCCCATGAAGCAAAACATATATGCAATGCAAGTAAATCAATCGAGAATAAAAAATAAGTATTATACAATACTTAAAAAATATGAATCTTAGTATTCTCAAGATACTTTAATTCCTCCTAACTACACTCTATCTTCTTTTTTCCTTTCTTTTTCCTGGAGAGTTAACCAAACACTACACAGTTTAAATTCATTGGAGAAGCTGTGGGATTCTAAAAGTTGCAGTCCACTAATCTCAATGTCTGTCTGTGTCCAACTGCTTTTAGAACAGTAGAACAAAAACTCCAAACCACTCTCTAATTTCCAAGAACCGGGCCAAGAAATATATAATCTAATGTGCTAATTCACTTAAGTCTGATTTGAAACATCAACTCATAAGCAGTACACTTATATATCTTTTCTTGCTATGGTAATTATACTGGCACCAGTAGTATGAGGCAAGCAAACACCAAGCTAACGTCTTTCATTCATCCTGAGCTAAAAAGCTTTTTCACATGTGAGGTTCTCAAATTATAGAGGCTAACAAGAACAATAAAACCCAACTAAAACTATTAGGTTTGTCATATGACTATATACCTCTGTCTTACTAGATAACTTTTCAGATAAGTACCAGTTCTTTCACCTGGCAGAAGGTTGTTAAATAGCTCACTAAGGTCTTTTTCATCTCAAAGTTCTATTTCTGCTGAATCACCTTTAGTCAGAACTTCACTGTAAATTCTACATGTAATTCACTAGGATATATATAAGTACAAGGATAAAATAACTGTACTAGAAGAAAATTGTAAGAAGAAAGGTCTTCAAAGACACAAAAAGCCAGAAAATGATCATTATTACCAGTAGTGCCTAAATGTGAACAACAAGTAAGCCAGTAACTGTGGTTCAAGACTGTAATATTAGCTATTAAGGAAGCTGAGATCTGAAGATTTGTCTTTTGAAGCTATCTCACAAAGGAGAAGTCTAAGAGACTCTTATCTCCAATTAATAACCAGAAGAGCCAAAAGTGGAGCCGTGGTTCAAGTGGTAGAGCAAAAAAGGTAAAAGGACAGCACCCAGGACCTGAGTTAAAGCCGCAGTACTAGCACAAACAAACAAATAATGACTAGTAACACAATGGTATTACTTTAAAGGTAGCATTTTGGATCATAAAATGAATATTCTGTAGAGCGGTAGGGTACATTTTTAAAACTAACATTCAAGAATGATCATAGTCCAATCCTACTTTATGTTTGTGTTGGTACTGGGGCTTCAACTCAAGAGGCTGGGTGCTGTCTGTCCCTTACCTTTAAAAAAAATTTTCCTTTAAGATTTGTTTATTTTTATTTTTGGGGGCCTGAATTCAGGGTCTGGGCACTGTCCCTGATCTTCTTTTCCTCAAAGCTAGCTTCTACCACTTGAACCACAGTGCCACTTCCAGCTTTTTCTGTGGTACTGAGGAAATCAACCCAGGGCTTCATGCATGCTAGGCAAGCACTCTACCATTAAGCCATATTCCCTTACCTTTTCTGATCAAGACTGGTATTCTACTACCAGAGTCACACAGCTTCACTTTCAGCCTTTTTGGTGGTTAGCTAGGGATAAGTCTCACAGACTTTCCTTCCTCAGTTGGCTTCAAATCAAGATCCTTAGATCTCTGCCTTCTTAGCTAGGATTACAATCAGCCACCAATGCCCGGCTCTTAAACTACTCTTAATTCAAAGTTACTGCCTTTATGAAGAGAGCAGAAACATTACCAAAACACAAAATAATTTCATACATAAATCTCTTGATCATCAAAAGTATTTGGAAGAGCAAATACTGGTATTATATTCAACAGAAAAATGAAATAAGGTATTAGCTGGACTCTGGTGTCATATCCGTAATCCCAGCCAGTTAGGACGCTGAAATCTGAGGATTATAGTTTGAAGCCAATCTGAGTAAGAAACTTTGTAAGACTCTTACCTCCATTAAACATGATGAAGCTGGAAGCAGAACTGTTACTCAAGTAGAATACTATCCTTGAGCAAAAAAACACCCCAAAAAACAAAAAAACACAACAACAGCAACAATTATTTAGGGACAGTGCCCACAAGCTTGAGTTCAAGCCCCAGGACCAACACCAAAAAGAAAGAAAGAACAGGGGTGTGGGGGGGAGGGGGAAGCATGGAGGGAAGAAAGGAAAAGGGAAGGAGGGAGAAAGAAAAGAAAGGAAGAAAGAGAGAAGGGGGAGGGAGGGAAGGACAGAGAGAAAGAAGAGAGAGAGAAGGAAAGGGGAATAAAAATGATATTTAAAAATTCTAAGCTAAGCACTGGTGGCTCATGATTGTAATACTAACTACTCAGGAGGCTAAGATCTGAGGATCACAGTTTGAAGCCAGCCTGGGCAGGAAAGTCCCTGGAACTCTTATCTTCAATTCTGCCAGACAGTTGGAAGTGGTGCTGTGTCTCAAAGTGGTAGAGCACTAGTCTTGAGCAAAAGCTTAAGGACAGTGACCAGGCCCTTAAGTTCAAGCCCCATGACTTACAAATATATATATATATATATATATATATATATATATATATATATATATATATATTCTAGATTTATCAATTTACTAACATTAAGAGTACAATTTTTAATTACATCACAGACTTTGGTTCTCACAACTCCTTAAATTAAGATCTAATGATAAAGATTTATCTTATTTATGTGCCCATTCTACTACCAACACAGAAGACATATCTAATACTGTTCTTCAGCTGGGCTCTGGTGGTTCACACCTGTAATTCTAGCTCCTCAGAAGGCTAAGATCTGAAGATCAAAGTGCAAATACAGCCTGGGTAGTAAAGTCCTTAAGATTCTTATTGCCAATTTTCCTTCCCCTCCTCCCTCCCACAGACAGAGCATATATACTGATCTTTAAAGATTTCTGGAGATTATATTACTAACCTGAATCTTGCATTACACATGGAACAACTTGTAATTAGACCAAATACATCAAATTCTTATCTCTTCCTGCTATATATCATCTCAGCTTTCTAAAATTTGGTAACAGCCAGCCTATTAGAATCACTAGTTCCTATTTACCTGCATAGGGAGAAGGAAATGTTCTCTTTTTCTATTTCTAAAATCCTTGAAGAAAAGAAAGAGAATAAGAAGCAAGCAAGCAAAGAAGGAAGGAAGGAATCCTACTTATTGTAATACAAAACAACTTTTATTTACTTAAAGAGGGGAGATTTCTCTTAAGTCCCCCAAGGTGTCAATTGATGAAATTAAAGTATTACCTAACAGTAGGTTAAAAAAGATACATAAGTGCAAAGCATGTACTTCAAGTCTGAACAATCTGTGTGGACAGGGGAAAAAGTGAAAGGAAATTTTAAATAAATTGTACTAGCTATTGCAGAAGCAAGCAGTGTATTTCTAAGGTAACAATCCTGTGTGTTGTATGTGTGTGTTAAAAAGTCATATTTGTAACTGACAATCTTGCAAGTAATCTATTTTTAAATGATACTTGTTTAAAAAATCATACAGCTTACAAAGGACTGAAATTCAAACTCAAATTTACTAATTTCAAGCATATTTTCTTCTCTCAAATGCACTCACAATTCTATTTTAAAATATATTTAGCCATGCCCAATTCTTACTACTAGCCAATAACCTTATTTCTTCTGTTGTACTCTATACTTAAAAAATAATTTTTTGTTATTATAAAGGTAATGTCATCCCTTCCCTCACTCCCAGTATATACACTTTGTTTCCCCCCCATCGGTGGTGGGGCTTGAACTCTGGGTCTGGGTGCTGTCTTTGCACTCTAACACTTGAGCCACAGCACCACTTCGGGTTTTCTGTGGTTAATTGGAGGTAAGAGTCTCAGGGACTTTCCTGCCCGACTGGCTACAAAGTTAAATATCAACTGGACATTGATGTTTTACTACTTCTGCAATGGCCAATGACTGTATTTGGAAAGAGATACAGGAATGCAAAAAGAGCTTTAAACCTCACAAGCTTATGATATTTAAATGTCATATACTCCAGAATATTTACAAGTCCTGAGTATGTACTAAAGAGAAAACGTAACAGGCATGTATTCACAAAATCGTGTGTTTAACTAAGTAAAGCAAAATCAGACATCTTGTTCTCCCTAAGCAAAGTCGTTTTCCTCAAAAAAAATTGAGAAAATTTTAAGAAAACTTTCCTGTATAAATCAGTAAATTTAAAGAGATTATTGTTAATATACATTCAAATAAGCTAACTACTATAGAAGACACATGGCATATAAGAGTAATATTAGGATAAATTTGAGTGCTAAGAAAATTCTGACAAGAAGGGCAGAGAGAGGAAGAGAAAAGGAAGAGAGGAAAAAAGGGAGGGAGAAAAAAAAGAAAAGAGACAGTGAAGGGTGTAATGAACTGAAAAGAATTACTTAAAAAATATGTGGGTCCAAAGCACTTTGTATTCTTCAAGTTACAGTTCACCAAAAAAGAACATAAAGCTCTAATAAGTGTTCCATTAAGTGATATATATATATATATATATACTACATATATCAAATTTTAAAGGAATACAAAAAGCTGTCATTAAGAAAAGAAATAAAAGCAGTTGGTTTTTCAGATAATACTAACCTGTCTTCTAATATCTAGCTTTACTAGTTCACACAGTCAATTCATGGCATAAGGACTACAACAGACTCTTTTTGACTTAAATTAGATCTCTTATAGCTTTAATGAGGAAAATTACATAAAAGATTGAACATTTATTATGACACAAACATCTTCCTCTGGCAGGGTAGAGGATATGTAGACACACAGCTCTTCTCGAATCATCCTGGATTAAATCTACAGAACAGGGCTGATAAACCTGTATTACAATCACAAGAAGGAATCATTTAAATCAACAATTGGACTTTGGATATACTAGAATATCTGACTTGGGACTTTCTCTAATTAATGTCTTCTATACACTTGTTTTCTAGTTCCTTTCCTTTCATATCCTTCCCTTTCTTCCTTTCTTTCAAATTTACCTAAGGCTAGATGCAGCCACATGATCTGTTTAGGATACACAAAGAACATTCTGCTTGTTGTTTTAACCAAAACATAAATTCAAGGGGTGCCAGTGACTCTTATCTGTACCTAGCTACTCTAGAGGATGAAATCTGAGGATCTCTGTTTGAAGCCAGCCCAGGCAGGAAAAGCAATGAGACTCTTATTTCCAATAAACTATCAAAAACGCTGAAAAAAGAGCTGTGGCTCAAGTGGCAAAGTGCTACCCTTGAGCAAAAAAAGCTCTGAGATAGTGCCTAGGCCCTGAGTTTAAGCCCTAGGACCAGCACCAAAAGAACAAAGAAAAACAAACCAAAGAAACCTTAAATTTGCAGTACCTCAAGCTGTTTTTTCTGAACAAAATGAAAGCAGTTCTACATTTTTATTTTATTTCATTTTATTTTTTTGGTCATGGTACTTGAACTCTGAACCTGGGTGCTGTCCTTCAGCTCTTCAGCTCAAAGCTAGCGCTCCACCACTTGAGCCACAGAGCCACTTCCTGTTTTCTGGTGCTTTATTGGAGATAAGAGTTTCACAGACTTTCCTGCCTGGGCTGGCTTTGAACTGCAATCCTCAAGATCTCAGCCTCCTGAGTAGCTAGGAATACAGGCGTGAGCCACCAGCACCCAGCAAGTAGTTCTACATTGAAAAAAGAAAGATTTTTTAATTGTAAAAGGTGACATAGAGGGACTGCAGTGATATAAGTCAGTTGCAGTTATGTAAGTACATTTCTTTTTTTAATATATGTATTTTTCACACATTAAAAAATCCTTTATTTACAAAAGAAAATTTACACAGATAATACTGGTTCTAGTCTGTGCACTTCCATGGTCTCTTTATCAAATGAAGTGGTAGCAGGTGGGGAAGCAAAAACCAAGAGCCAAAACATCATCCAGGGCAAGGGACGACCTGAATCAGTCTTCATCAAGACTGCATCACCCCACACTGTGAGATTACCACAGGCAACTTGGGCTTATTGTTGAGGACTGTGGGAACATTCTCAATCTTTCTCATCACTAGAAGTCCATCAATGATTTTGCCAAACACCACATGCTTCCCATCCAGCCAATCACACTTAGAGCAGGTGATAAAGAACTGACAGCCATTTGTACTGGGACCACTGCTTGCCAGAGAAAGTGGGCATGGAGCAGAGTGTTTAAGTTTAAAATTTTTCATTTGCAAATGCCCCTGGTAAATACTGGCAACTCCTGTACCATATCCATTAACTAAATCTCCACCCTAAATCATGAAATCCTTTATAACCCTGTGGAAAGTGCTCCCTCAGTATCCTATTGGAACCCCATCTTTTCTGAATTCTCCAGTGCAGAACTGCCTAAAGTTAGCTGTCTTAGACACAACATCTGCAAACAGCTCAATCTTACACATCCAATCTCCTGACCACCAATGCTAACATCAAAGAACACAATGGGGTTAATAGGGCTTGAATTTGCCACCACCATGGCTCCAACCTGTAATATATATATTTTTATTGTAAAGATACTGTACAGAGGGATTACAGTTACATGAGTAAGGCAATGAGTACATTTCCTATGGAGCATTGTTAATCCCTCCTTTGTTTTCTCCTACCACCCCTTCGCTCCCCACCTCCCCAACTCCTCCCTGCACACTACATTTCTTTTTTAGTAGTGTCACCTCTTCCCTTGGTTTTACACTTTTTAAGGAGGTAAGAGCTGAGTGTAAAGGTGAAGACTTAGCACTCCTGGTCTTGAGTTCTAGGTCAACCTAGGCTACAGAGTGACATCTCAAAAAGGGGATGTGGGTGTGCTATTAGCATAGATTAAGTACATATTGCTTTGTTTAAGTATATACTAATATACTAGAATTGTACAGTGCTGGGGCTGGGAAGGTGGCTCAGTGGTAGAGCACATGCCTTGTATGCCAGAGGCCCTGGGTTTGATTCCTCAGCACCACATAAGCAAAAAGAAAAAAGCCGGAAGTGGCGCTGTGGCTCAAGTGGTAGAGTGCTAGCCTTGAGCTGAAGAGCTGAGGGACAGTGCCCAGGCCCAGAGTTCAGGCCCCATGAAACCAGTTGTTTAAGGATACAGGTGGACCTGTTGCAACAATGAGAAGTACAAGTTGTCATGTCCAAAACGACTTTACAATGTCGGTGCGGGGGGGGGGGGGGGGGGGGGGGAGAGAGAAGGAGAAGGATTGGGATTGGGGGGGAGGGGGGAGGCTGGGAAGGGATGTGAAGGGTAAACAAAGGAGGAGGCTGCAATGCCTGGTAAGAAATGTACGCATTATCCTGCCCATGTAATTGTAAACCCTCTGTACAGTATGTTCACAAATAAAATAAAATTAAAAAATACTAAAGCATTATCTAATATAGACATTTTTTTCTAAAAAAAAATAGAATTGTACAGTGCTGATGTACAATTTTGCCTTTTATATTCCAGTGGTAGGTTATTTATGCCAAACTGCTTTTCAACTTCACTAATTAAAATAGGACACATACTTCCTAGTTAGCACAATAAAGTGAAATCCTTAAGAATGACAGTACTTAAAGAATATTAGACAATATAAAGTTAAAAAATTAAAAACAAAACAGATTAAGATTCACTGCTGAAATGACAACCAATGTTTTGCCCAAACACAGTGGAAAATAATATAAGCACCTGTAAACATCTAAGTTTAAAAGTATGTTACTTTGTGTGTGTGCACACATGCATGCATGCACACATGAATGGGTCCTAGGATTTGAACTCAGGGCCTGGGTACTGTTCTTGAGTTTTTGAGTCACAGCTCCACTTCCATTTCTATTTATTTTTGTATTCTGAGATTAGAGTCTCATGAACTTTCCTGCCCTGACTGGCTTCAAATCAAGATACACAGCTTCCTGAGTGACTAGGATTATAGGCTGAGCCACCAGTACCAGACTTAAGAATGTCACTTTTTAACCAATTTTGCAAACTAATAAACACTAAATAAGAGAGGAGTACCACATTAGATACTGAATAAAACGCTAAAAAGTTGAACATTAAAGGAAATTTTCTGTCTTAAATCTGTTTTAAGTAAGGAATATTAGTTATCTCACTACATGACTAATCTGTCCAATTTATTTCTAAGTTTGATGTTCAAATACAAATTAATTAATGAACTACTTTAAAAGTAATTAATGGATATGTAAGAAATACTTAGGCAGTATAAATAGTAATTGGAAAAAAAAATGTTAAATGGTACTTTACCAACAAACATTTCATGAGTAGGTGTCCTAGTAGTAAAAGTGGATACATCTGAAGAAATGGGAAGGTGAACATCACCACTACTTTTTGTGAGGAAAGGATTTAAGCTTGGAATGGCATCATCAACAGCATCTATAGTAGCAGAGAAAGGATCTGTGCAGTCCGAGTGAATTACAGCAGAATGAAGAAAGAAGTAAATAAATTAGTATGGTAATTAGTCAAAAGATGTAAAGTGAAAAGTAGTAGCTATATTATTGTTTATTATAAGTGCAAATACATCTAATACATTTAATCGTTGGGGTGGGGGAACCATTGGGTTCATTAACAACAGTAGCATGTTAAGGAGAGATTTTTCTCACCAACATTAGAAAGCTAACAGTTAGTTAAAAAAGAGAAAAATAACCAAGATGTTTTTATAAAAGATCACTCACCTTATGCCCATCCTCCCTGACCTAGATGGGAGTGTAATGTCTGATGACACAGCTGTGTTTACTCAAATATAGGGTGGAGGGGGGGAAATACACTTGACAAATGTTCACTACAAGTAAACTGGCAAAAAAGAGGGGTAATCTCAAATTAGAAGATACTGTGTGTAGCTACCCCCTACTTAGGTTCAAAGGCAGTAAATACAAAATAAAGATGAAGGAAAGATTTAAGGATAGGCAAAGGGAACTTAAGACATTTAAGAAGAGAGATGAAAGACTATTCTTTAGTAGACTGAAATGACCGAAAGGTTAAGATTGTCTCTAAGTGATTCTTCTGAAGAACAAAAAAAATTAATTCCCTATTATAAAATTACCATATGCTTTTCATCAATGCCTACATCTAAAGTTACCTTAGAACCAGATACACACTGAACCCACATGTCATTCAAGATAAAGTAATACTAAAAGCCATTTCTTGAGATTCAGAGTTAGCAGAATACAGGAAGAAATAAAAATAAGAGTAGCAAAAACACAGCATCATATTTTCTTTTCTTTGTAACACAATCAAAAGAAGATAGCCAGCCATCATGGCAAAAACCTGTAATTCCAGCACTCAGAAGGTAGAGGCAGCAAGGGAAGTCTGAGGTCAGCTTAGTTCACATAGTTGAGGTAGTTTTTAATTTTTGTGTTTTTGTTTTTCTGCTTGTTCTTGGGTTTTTAACTCTGGGCCTGGGCACTGTCCCTGAGCTTCTTTTGCTCAAGGCAAGTGGTCTACCACTTGAGCCATAGCGCCACTTCCAATTTTTTTTAGTACTTTATTGGAGATGAGTCTTATGGACTTTCCTGACTGGGCTGGTTTAGAACCTTGATCTTTACATCTCAGCCTCTTGAATAGCTAGGATTATAGGTGTGAGCCACTGGCACCCAGCTATAGTGAGTTTTTGAGATTTTTGTCTCAAAAAACAAAAAATCCCCCCCCCAAAAAACCAAACCCCAAAAAGAAAAGTTCAAGGAGATACCTTTATACTTCCAATCAGCAGTCTCTTGTCTAGTTCTATCTTTAACAAAGTATACTACAGTACCATTAGTATTAGGTACACTGTTGTACTTTTAAGACTGTATAATTGAACAATAAGAATAGCAATGACCAGCTGGGCGCTGGTGGCTCACGCCTGTAATCCTAGCTACTCAGGAGGCTGAGATCTGAGGATCGCGGTTCAAAGCCAGCCCGGGCAGGAGAGACCTTGAGACTCCTATCTCCAATAAACCACCAGAAAACCGGAAGTGGCGCTGTAGCTCAAGTGGTAGAGCGCTCGCCTTGAGCTGAAGAGCTGAGGGACAGCGCCCAGGCCCAGAGTTCAAGCCCCACGACCAACAAAAAAAAAAAAAAAAAAAGAATGGCAATGACCTAAGGACTAGCTCATTTGCTATGTAATAGGCAAGGTTCACATAAAGTTGATAAACTCAAAGCAAGGGCTCTCTAATCCCAAACACTGTTGGAAAACGGGAAGTATAAAGAAAATAATAAACCAGGGGTTTAAGTATAGGTTTGCTCTTGTTGTTTTCCTGGGACTAGAGATTTAACTATCCTCAAACTCAATGGGCTTGCTTGATTGTGGCTAGAGCTCTACCACTTGATCTATACCTCTAGCCTATCATTTCGCTAGTTAAATGAAGATGGAGTTTTAGGGACTTCCTTCCCCAGGCTGGCTTTGAACCCTGATGCTCCAGGTATTAGCCACCTAGATAACATTACAGAAATGAACCACAGGTGGCTGGTTTAACAATAATACTTTAGTAAAACTCTAACTTTCGTATCATGAGTATTTTTGTAGGAATTATTAAGCATTCCTATGGAACATCACACTTGAAAATCAAGTCCTATAAAATGATCGTAATATCCTGATTATAATACTCAAACCCAAAAAACTTTTTCCTCTTATGAATTCTTACCAAATGGAATGAGAAAAAAAAAAAGAATCAGTAAACAGTGACTCAGAAATAAACTATAGAAGGGCTGGGAAGATGGCTCAGTGGTAGAGGGCTTGCCTTGCATGCATGAGGCCCTGGGTTCAATTCCTCAGCACCACATAAGCAAAAAGAAAAAAGCCGGAAGTGGCGCTGTGGCTCAAGTGGTAGAGCGCTAGCCTTGAGCTGAAGAGCTGAGGGACAGCGCCCAGACCCCACAACCAGACCCAGATTAAAAAAAAAAAAAAAAAAGAAAAGAAAAAGAAATAAACTATAGAAAACAGAGCCGGGAATGTGGCTTAGGGGTAGAGTGCTTGCCTCCCATGTATGAAGCCCTGGGTTTGATTCCTCAGTACCACGTATACAGAAAAGGCTAGAACTGTGGTGATGTGGCTCAAGTAGTAGAGTGCTAGCCTTGAGCAAAAGAAGCTCAGAGACAATACCCAGGCCCAGAGTCAAGCCCCAGGATTGGCAAAAAAAAAAAAAAAAAATGGGAATTTTTTTGAACTGGAAAAAGATATCATGTTATCTACTCCAACTCCATGTGTATGAAAGAAACTGCATTAAGGTTAGAGTTCACTAATGAGTCAAAATATTCTTAGAACTTGACAGTAGAAAGAACTGTAAAATTATATTATACTTCATCTTATAACCAAAAAAAACCTACTCTAGTCATCTATGTCAAAAAAACAAAAACAAACAAAACAAGAAATAAAAGGGGGGAAAAAAGCCATGAGAGAAAGAGTAAGAAAAAAAGACATTTTTTAGCAGATCCCTTGCTCTGGGAAAAAGGCATTCAAGAATGATTGCTATTCATCTGCTGTACTATTGACTGACACTTTTATCCAAGTGACAACTAATTTCAATCACATCCCATTAAATGACACAGCCTTGTGAAGAATACACAAACTCATGTGGAAAATGTACTTTCTTTATATCAATAAGATAATAAAGAAAAACAACTTCTAAACCATGATAAATCACAAGACAGCTGATTAATACGTTAATCTATTAACAGATATTATATCATAATAACACAAACTCATCAAAATAAGGCAATGTTCTAAACATTTCACTAGAATTTACTAGACTGATAATTTTCTTAAACTTGTAAAAAACAATTTGTCCGGGCTGGGAAGATGGCTCAGTGGTAGAGTGTTTGCCTTGCATGCCTGAGGCCCTGGGTTCGATTCCTCAGCACCACATAAGCAAAAAAAAAGCCGGAGGTGGCGCTGTGGCTCAAGTGGTAGAGCGCTAGCCTTGAGCTGAAGAGCTGAGGGACAGTGCCCAGGCCCAGAGATCAGGCTCCACGACCAGACCCAAAAACAAAAAAAAAAAAACAATTTGTCCATGATTTTTATTGTTAATGTAAGATTTTATTTCATTCTGCATATTTAATTTTCTCATTCTAGAGTTATAAAAAAAAGTTCAAAAATAATTACGAGTACTATAATAACACCAGTCTTATAAGTCTTCAGATTTAAACAAATGACATTATTTAAACACATAAAATTAAATTTTTTCAGGTTGTATTTCATCCCAGCTAAGGGTAAAGCAAATTTAAATTTCAAATAGTCTTACACTTTAAATTTTGAAATCTTACTTCAAATAATATTGGGTCTGGACTAATAATAGTATTTATTTTTCAGATAGGTGTAACTAAGTTTTCAAGGTAATAAAAAATCTACGTCTTCTCACAAACCAATATTTAACATCAAGGGCTCAGACTCCAGACAATTTCCTAAAGAAACCAGAGGTTCAAATATAATGAAATGAGAGGAACAGAAGAGCTTATGTGTTTTCTCGTCTCTCCTTTCCTTTCCCTCTTCTCTTTCTCTTACTCTCCCACATTTTTTAGAATCTTAAATACTTTTTATGTAAACACACGAAACCTTTCTTCCCTGAACAATACCTCATCACTAATCTTTCACTAGGAATACCAGTCATCTCTTTGATGTTAATTTAAGAACCAAATTAAATACTAGGTCTCTTATTAGCATCCATATCTAGCTAACAAAAGGAAAAGAAATAATAAGAGACTTCTTCTTAAAACAAGATGTCAGAGACCCATGCCTATAATCATAGCAACTCAGGAGACTGAGTAGATCACAGTTCAAAGCCAATTGGGGCAGGCAAGTCCATGAGCCTTTTATGTCCAATGAGCCACCAAAACATGAAGTGGAGCTGTGGCTCAAGCAAAAAAAGCCTTTAGCAAAAAAGTTCAGTGACAGTGCCCAGTCTTTGAGTTCAAGTCACAAAACCAGCACAAAAAAGTCCAAATATATGTAAAAAAAAAAAAAAAACATTTAAAGTGTCTAGAGGTAAAGTTATTTTCAAAAGCTGTAGGCTGGCCGGGCGCTGGTGGCTCACGCCTGTAATCCTAGCTACTCAGGAGGCTGAGATCTGAGGATCGTGGTTCAAAGCCAGCCTGGGCAAGAGAGACCGTGAGACTCTTATCTCCAATAAACCACCAGAAAACCGGAAGTGGCGCTGTAGCTCAAGTGGTAGAGCGCTCGCCTTGAGCTGAAGAGCTGAGGGACAGCGCCCAAGCCCAGAGTTCAAGCCCCACGACCGACCAAAAAAAAAAAAAAAAAGCTGTAGGCTGAAGAAGTAGTTCAGCTGTACAGCAATTGACTTAGCATGTGGAAGGCTCTGGACTTGAATCCTAGCATTGAAAAATAAACACAAAAAAAGTTTTAACAAAACTAATTTACTGCCATGATGAAAATTTTTCCTATCTTATACTTAAGTCTGAATTTTAAAAATAAAATGCATATAAATAGTGACTGGATAATGAAGTATTAAAAGTTGAGCTCAGTGTTGCCTAGTAAGTACATGGGCCTGAGTATAAATCCAATCCAATTACGCACCCCCTCAAAAAAATACATGCACTGTAAGTCTTACAATAATGTTCAGCTTATTAATCACTCAGACATGACCCTGAAATTATCACCAAATCAGAAGCCAAACATCTCTCTATATGAAAAGGTTTTAATTTTGCTGCAATTGAAGGGCCCTTTACTAACTTTAAAAAAAGAAAATGTTAGATGTTAGAATGAGTGGGAATTTTATGAAAATAGCAAAATAATCCAACAGAAAAATAAGACATAAATATATTATAACACTGTATCTACATGTATATTGTTAGGGAATAATCTGTCCTAAGAACATGGAACACAAATAATACAGACTGAAATTACTTAAAATTATTTTCCAACAGTAATGGTTCTATTTGCTTTCATAGCAGTTCAACCACTTCAAGCAGATTAGCTTCTCATTATTAAAAGAATTAACTAAACATGATAAGCCCAATTAAGAATTCTGTAGTTCTATTTCTTTTATTTTTTTTTGGGGGGGGGTCAGTCATGGGGCCTGAACTCTGGGCCTGGGTGCTGTCCCTCAGCTCTTCAGCTCAAGGCTAGCACTCTACCAACTTGAGCACCACTTCCGGTTTTTTTCTGTTTATGTGGTGCTGAGGAATCAAACTGAGGACCTCATGCATGCAAGGCAAGCACTCTACCACTGAGCCACCTTCCCAGCCCTGTAGTTCTATTTCTTTGAAATGTTATATATACTATAGAGAATGTATACTAAAGAAAGTAAATTTTAAAAAAATAAAGTAAATGTTAGTTATATGCACCTTCTATCTCAAAAGTGCTCAGTTACTGGGGATACAGCTTTGAGCAGATCATTTAAGAACACTTGAACCTGGTATACTCATTTGTAAGCCTGACAAACTATTGTAAAGCTCAGGTCTTTTTCTAACTAATAATCCTGATTAGTATCCCATTTCAGAAATGTGAATGCATTTATCCAACACCTCTCTGAACTTCATTGAGATTATATATTACTTCCCTAATAATTAAAAAAATCCTTAGTTCTAAAGCAAAAAAAAAGGAAAAAAAAGAATGCTTTGACTCCACAGAGCTTATATTCTAGTAGGCATTAAAGAAATGGATATTTAAAAAAAAAAATCCAAAATCTAGCTGGGTGTCAGTGGCTCATACTTGTAATCCTAGCTACTGGGAAGGCTGAGATCTGAGTATCAAGGTTTGAAGCCAACCCACACAGGAAAGTCCATGAGACTCTTATTTCCAATCAACTACTAAAAAAAGCTAGAAGAAGCAGGGAGAGCTAGCCTTGAGCAAAAGAAGTTCATGGACAGCACCTACACCCTGAGTTCAAGCCCCAGGACCAGCACACACAAAAAGTCCAAAAATCATTCTTAAAATACACCATTAAATAAAAAAAAAAGTACTAGGTTGTATGTTTTAAAACTAGAATAATGTATCTTTCCTTTTAGAGATAGGACTACCAATTCAGATATTACATCTGAGCCAAATTTTAAGGTATCTTGCCATTCTCTATTTAGTATTCTTTCTCAAATTTTATTTTCCCTTCCAAGTGATGTTTTAACAACTGTTATATAAAATACCTATTTTTTTAATCTAAAAAAAGCTAAAGTAAATGATTTAAAAACTATACGTACACACTATAAAAACTGACCTGGACCAGCATTTTGCTTCAAAGACCATGGTCCTAGGTCACAATCCTTATGTGATCACCTTATAATCAAGGTTGCCACACCATACTTCACTGCCTAATACTGAGTTTTTCTAGAACCTTATCCCATACTTACACAAATGGGAGCCTTTATCCCCTGTAGGTAGAAATTTTCTATACCAAATATGATTACTATATATTTTCTAATAATGGAATTAAAATTCACATTACAAGAATGGTCCTTCCTTTTATATTTAATTTTACCTTCCTTAACCCTTATCTTATAATTTAAACACAAATTCTAAAACTGCATTTATAATAAATGAAAATGTGGAGACGCAATGGAAAGACGCGCATACAACATCTAAAACAGAATTTATTAATGCTTACCTCCCCATGTACTTGCTACCTGAGAAGCAGTTGACATAGAATGTACAGATGGATGGAAAGTTGGCTGTTGCAAATCAAGCAGGTCATTTGGCAGCTTTGATGTGCTAAAAAAATTTTTGGAAATATGTTTAATGAATTTTGCTACATTATATACCTCTCACATAGCATAAAAAATTAAGAAGACAAGTGAAAATAAAACTTTCAATAATTTCAGGCTGGGAAGGTGGCTCAGTGGTAGAGCGCTTGCCTTGCATGCTCAAGGCCCTGGGTTCGATTCCTCAGCACCACATAAGCAAAAAAAGCCAGAAGTGTTGCTATGGCTCAAGTGGTAGAGCGCTAGCCTTGAGCTGAAGAGCTGAGGGACAGTGCCCAGGCCCAGAGTTCAGGCCCCACGACCGGACCCAAAAAAAAAAAAAAAAAAAAACTTTCAATAATTTCAATTTCAAAAGAAGGAACAGTTTCAGCAAGGTAACAGCTGCATATAAACAGCAAATTCCTGGAAAAATAATTCTAACACAGCATAGTCAGCTTATATAGGATTCAAGTAACAAATTATTTTCTAGAAAGACTTAGTGACTTCCCAGGAAAATACTTATTTCTGTATGCTAATTCCATAAAATATAAATTAGTAATTTGGCCATCATACCTTTCTCATATGCAAAATAAACTTTCACTTTATATTAAAACATTATACCAATTATATCATTTACTACCACCTCTACTGTAAGAATTTATGAATAACCCTTAAAAGATCTGCAAAACTCGGGCTGGGAAGGTGGCTCAGTGGTAGAGCACTTGCCTTGCAAACATGAGGCCCTGGGTTCGATTCCTCAGCACCACATAAGCAAAAAGAAAAAAGCCGGAAAGTGGCACTGTGGCTCAAGCGGTAGAGTGCTAGCCTTGAGCTGAAGAGCTGAGGGACAGTACCCAGACCCAGAGTTCAGGCTCCACAACCAGACCCAAAAAAAAAAAAAAAAAGCTGCAAAACTTCTATTAAGACGTTTAGTTAAAAGTTACCCAAAAATGCCAGGCATCAATGGCTCACGCTTGTAATCCTAGCTACTCAGGAGGTGAGATCTGAGAATGGTAGTTCAAAGTCAGCCCAGGCAAAAAAACTCCCTGTGAGACCCTTATCTCCAATTAACCACTCAAAATCTGGAAGTGGCACTGTGGCTCAAGTGGTAGAGCACTAGCCTTGAGCACAAAGTGGTAGAGCACTAGCCTTGAGCACAAAGAGGTTCAGGGATGACACCCAGGGCCTGAGTTCAAGCCCCACAACCAACAGAAAAAATAGAGTTATGTAAAAGTAACTTTAATCTCTTTCCATACCTGTTAGAAGAACTAGGGGTAGAAAATATGTCGATGGCTGGTGCAGTCATTAACCCCCCTGTTGAGGTGGACACAGGAGAGGCTGCAGTTGTTAAAGAGGTATGTGGTTTCTTTGCAAGTTCTTTTAGGCGCTGTTCCTGTTAAGAAAGGGAAATATAAGGAATCTAGAAACTAGTTCTATGTGTAAGGCCTCTGAAAAAAAGTACTTTCTAATTTTTTTCAGTAGCTAAAAGGCATTCTCTTACTCTTTTCACTAGCTACTATGTCAAGATGAAAATCCATACTGAGTTATCAGTGTATTTAGTAATTACACATGAAAAACTTAAGTCTGTGCAGAGGTCCCATTTATTTTATGATCACCTTACTTGATGTGAAGTAAATGCACTTACCTTTAAAGCTTTTAAACGAGCCTGTTCTTCTTCTAATGCTGCTTGCTTTTCCCTTTCATCCACTTTGGTCAGAGATAGGCCAGTGCTTGCCAAGGAGGAAACTGCATTGGAAAGTGTTGTGGCTCTAGGATAATTAGACAAAGGTAATTTGGCTTTGTGTCAATAACTTTATATCCAACTCACAAAGTGATCTGTCAACTCTGCCACCAATAGGCTGTAACTGCAAACTTAACTTCTGACTCAAACTAGTACATATGAAATATTCTCATCAATGATCTAGATGATTATAGCAATTATAACATTGTTGATTGACATACATATTTCACTGCAGGCTCACAAGAGTGGCATGGGGAGGGGGTAGGTGAGGAGGTGGTGGGAGGGAAGGGATGGTAGGGGAACAACAGAGGAGGCGGCAACAATGCTGGATAAGAAATATACTCATGGGCTGGGAAGGTGGCTCAGTGGTAGAGCACATGCCTCGTATGCCAGAGGCCCTGGGTTTGATTCCTCAGCACCACATAAGCAAAAAGAAAAAAGATGGAAGTGGCACTGTGGCTCAAGTGGTAGAGCGCTAGCCTTGAGCTGAAGAGCTGAGGGACAGCGCCCAGACCCAGAGTTCAGGCCCCTCGACCAGACCCCCCGCCCCCAAAAAAAGAAATGTACTCATTACCTTGCTCATATAATTGTAACTCTCTGTACAGTATTTTCACAATAGAAAAATTTTTTAAAAATAGAGAGACTGGATTGAATTTTTTTTTCCCAAATAACCTAAAGTCTTCCAGTCATAAGTCCACATGACTCCTCTTACTAGCCTCCTCCTTTCCATAATACCAGGTTTTTATCCATACTATAAACTTCAACATTAAATTCTAGGATGAATATAAACATGCTAAAGAATTGTAACAAGAACTATCCTGACCTTTATTAATTTTTCTTTAGACCATAAACTAAACATCATCAATTTCTACTGTTAGTACATAAACTGGCAAAAACTAAAAATACAATCTGGAAGATGAAGAGTTAATATGTGTTTGTGTGTCTGTTGTGTGTGTTAGAAATTTAAGAAGCCCAACAGATTTTTATGATAAATATTTGAGGCAAACAGGTATATCCAATCTATTGAACAATAATTGTTCATTATTTTCTCAATCAACTGAGCCATAATATTTTGGTTATTATAGTACTAAGAAACTTAAGTTCCAGTATGAAATTAAAAGTACTAAAATTAGTCAAAGGTTTTCTTCTTTGGAAATTGTTAAATTTTTGTTTCTTTATGACAGGGTCTCACTATGTAACCCAGGTTGGCCTCAAATGTGAAATCCTCCTGCTTCGGCTTCCTAGAGTACTGGGACTGCAGGTATGTATCACAAATACCTACAGGGTTTAAATTTTTATTATTAAAGAAAAAAAAGGAAAAAGATGGGGCTGGGAATGTGGCTCAGTAGTAGAGTGCTTGCCTTGCATGCATGAGGCCCTGGGTTTGAGTCCTCAGCACCACATAAGCAGAAAAAGCCAGAAGTGGTGCTGTAGCTCAAGCAGTAGACCACTAGCTTTGAGCTGAAGAGCTGATGGACAGCACCCAGGCCCAGAGTTCAGTCTACACGACTGACAAAAAAAAATAAATGAAAGATCAACAGGAGATGATTTTGTGCTATTGCTAGATTAACTGCAACATTAAATCAATAGACTGTGATTAAAATAGAACATATCATGGGCTGGGAATGTGGTTTAGTGATAAAGTGCTTGCCTCATATGCATAAAGCCCTGGGTTCCATTCCTCAGTACCACATAAACAGAAAAAAATACAAGCAGCACTGTGGCTCAAGTGGTAGAGTACTAGCCTTGAGCAAAAGAAGGTCAAGACAGTGCCCAGGCCCTGAGTTCAAGCCCAGGAATGGCAAAAAATAAAAAATAAATAAAAGAACATATCAAAAGTCAACCTCACAAACTGTCACTAGAAAAAGACTGAAATTTGATGGTAGAAACTGAGTTCTAACATTATAACGTATTTTATAGGGCTACTATGAAGACTGTAATGATCAAGTACCACATAAACCAATGTATTATCTCTTTATGGGAAAGTTGAACATTATAGACAGAATTCTGATTCATTACGATTATCACTCAGGAATTATTCTAATAATTTATATGTATTAACGCATTTCATCCATAAGACTAACACTATAAACTCACCTTAAATCAAGGTAGAGAAAAGCTAATCAACTTGTCACTTGAGTTGGATTCTTAATGCTCCCTTACAAAATTCATACTGTCATTACCCTACATATATGTACCTGCTTGCAGCTGTAGAATCTTTGATTTTCTTTCCTTCCAAGGAAGCTAAATGTTGTTCCAAAGCATCAAGAAGACTGCTGGGGGCCTGAAATTATACATAAATATTGAAAATTTCATGATAATTAGGCCACTGGCCAAAATAAGTCACGTATTATGTAATTTTTTTGATTATTTTTTTCAACTGAAGACTAGTTTAAAACTTATGGGCTACAGGTCAAATGTCCCTTTAATATAAAGAATTACTTGCTTTAAAAATGAAAACTTTCCAGTGTGAAGAACTTCTGTTCTTTTTTAAATGAAGTAAATGTATCAGTGACATTGTATCAGTGACATTTAGTTACCCCAAATATGCTTTTGTGTACATGTGTGTGTGCTCACAGTCTGAACCTTGTTGTCCTTTAGCTTTTGTGCACAAAGCCAGTGAGCTATCATTTGAGCCAAAGCTCCACTTCAGGATTTTGGTGGTCAACTGGAGAAAAGAGTCTCATGGCTTTAATTCCAGCAAAGGTTTGACCTGCAATAGTCAGATCTCAGTTTCCTTAGTCAGGATTACAGGCACTGAGTCACTAGTATTCAGCTTCTTCTTTCCGTGGTTTTGCAGCACTGAAGTGCTGCACGCTTGAGTGGCTCTACCACTTGAGCCGTATCTCCAGTCCTTTTGCTTTTTTAAATTTGCTTTTAATTTTTTAAATTTGCTTTACAGACAGGGCGTCTGTTAAGTTTGTCCAGATTGCCTTTGAATGGATTTCTGACATTCATCTGCCCACCTCTCAAATATCCCTTAAGATGTGAGACAGTCTTAGATTACAAAATCTAAAAACATAAAAGGTAACACCTACTTTCCCTATTATGATTTTAACAATTTCATTTATATGTTCAATCTTAAGCAAATCAACTTCTCTCATGTAGAACTACACATAAGTACTTCACTTACATATAACCCATAACTAGATCATTTGTATAGTTTTAAGAGTAGCTTTGATATCAGAGGGATAAACCAGAACACCTACGATTAATACAAAAGGAAAGCATTAACCAGAAAGTGCTATTAAAAAAAAACAAAACACAAGAAAAACAAAAAAACCTGGGCTAGGTGCTGGTGGCTCACGCTTATAATCCTAGCTTCCTAAGCAAACTAATATCTGAGGTTCATGGCTCAAAGCCAGCCCAGGAAAGAAAGTCTGTGAGACTCTTATCTCTAATCTAATCTGTCAGACTCTAATCTCTAATCTTCCAAAAGGTTGGAAATGGAGTGGCTCAAGTGATACTGCATTAGCCATGAGCAAAAAAGCTCAGGTACAGTGCTCAGAGTTCAAGTCCCCCAAGTGACACACAAAAAAATAAATAAATAACCTAGAAAGTTCAAAACAAGGTAAAAGAGACTGTCTATTAGTTAGCCCGGGCAGGAAAGTTTGTGAGACTCTTATCTCCAATAAACTCCCCCCCCCCCAATAGAAAACCGGAAGTGGTGCTGTGGCTGGCTCATGCGGTAGAGCACTTGCCTTGAGCTGAAAAGCACAAGGACAGCACCCAAGCCCAGAGTTTAAGCCCCACGACAAAAAAAAAAAAAAAAAAGAGAGACTGCCTATTAAGGAAAAAGCTGACACAAGTTTTGTAAGAAAGTCTTTCCAAACAATGTTTAAGATGGTGATAAAGAGCTATTTTAATTGAATGCTGAATGCGATATATTTTATTGCCTCATTTAATCATCAAAATACCATATTAAATAGCTACTGTGCTATCCTTATTTTACAGATGACCAAAGTGAAGCACATCACAGGGCCAGCTGACTGAAGCAAGGGCCCCAAACTTAGTACTACCCTGAAGCTTGTTCTCTTAACTCTACATTTTCAGGTTTATTCCTATTTATGAGTCCCATCTCAGTCAAATAGCCAAAGGGAAAGGTTTAAATAAATCCTGCTTAAAATAATTCTCTATAGCTAGTAAAGTGAAAATTTTATATATCATTCAGCTCCCAGACTTGTTCTTCTATTGTTTGTTTGCTTTTTGTTGTTGTTGTTTGGTTATGACAACGGGAGAGGAGAAAGAAATGATACACTAGTGAGTAGGGTCACCAAGTTGAATATTTGGAAGTGGGGATGTGGCTCAAGTGGTTGAGTGCTAGCCTTGAGCTGAAGAGTTGAGGGACAGCACCCAGACCAGTGTTCAAGCCCCACATTGACAAAGAACAAAAAACAAAAAAAGTTAAGTATTTTATGCAATCATAATGGTACAAAAAATTTTAGAAAATATATGAAAATGTGAAAATCTGCCAAAACATTATATGGACCTTCACACTAGTGGTGACAGTTACTCAACTTCAGTATACAAAAGATGAATTGATATTTTAATGGTATACTTACCTGTGAAAGATCTGGTATATCACCTCTGTCAATCCCAACTTGCTGTAAGAAGAAATATTGAATAAATTTTTGTAAATAAAAATAATATTGTAAATAGTTTTTTAAAATCAGAAAATATTAGATCCCAAAAGGTATTATTAGATAGCTGTAATATAATAACAGTTTAGAAACTAGAGTTGGAAATTCAATCTGCAAAGCTATACTTTCATATCTTCTAAATACCTACATCAGCTACCTTGCCATAACCTGAAAAATTCATTTCTTCATTTGACACATGACACAATCATTTGACACCTGAAAAAATGAATTTTTCAGATGTCAAATGTTAATACTGGCAAGAATGAGAAAATGCTAACCATGAACAAGTTCCTTGGGGTATAAAAAGAAGAAACAACCCTGAGGATATCTTTGTTTTCTTTGTCTTTCTCTGTGAAATATGCTTTTCCATAAACATTGCTTTTCTTTTAAAGCCATCTATGTTCATTTGTGTTGGCTAGTTTTTTGTTTTGGCCAGGCCTGGGTACTGTTTCTGAGTCTCTGTTCTCAGGGCTAGCGTTCAACCACTTAAGCCACAGTGCCATGTCCAGCTACTTCTGAGTGGTTTATTGGAGATAAGAGCCTCATTTTTCTGCCTGGGCTGGCTTCGAACCTCGATCCTTGGATCTCAGCCTCCTAAGTAGCTAGCATGAGCCACCAGCACCCAGCTTGAATTTTTTTAAAAAAAGAAATGTCAAATGATAGCTAATCAAGATATCACTGCATCCAAAAAAAAAAAAATCCCAATACACTTTTCATGATGTTCAAGCATTAACCAATTTCCAGCAAAAACCAAAAAGGTAATTAATTCCTTTAACACCCCAAACTATATTCTCAATGGTAGCTATTCTTCATTTTATAATCACCCTTTTATTTTTCTCAATCTCTCTGGTTCTCAGAATGATAACAATAGAAAATACAAAAATTTAACTCATCCTAAGATATTAATAGTTAATTAGTGCCTAAGATCTATTCCCTTTAAATATAGTCCAAGAAGCTACTCTTGCCTTTACTCCAAAAAGTAAGGTCTCCTAACACACTGCAAGCCCAAAGACAGTATCATGACAGAATTGTTTTAGATTGAGAAATTTACATTTCTTAGGTCAAATATCCTATTCAGTCAAACCAGTAGTTCAGAGATAAAGAGATAAAATTTATGTTAGTAACTGTAACTACCAAATACAAAGAACATAGGAGGCCAAAGCGTAATGTCAATAGACATATTTTTGACATAGAGTGAGTCTAGCTATGAAGACAAGGCTGGCCTTGCTGAAATCACAATCCCGCTTCAGCATCCTGAGTACTGGAATAATAAGTATGAGCCACTGCACCTGGCTTAATAAGTTAAAATTTATTCAAAAATTTTACTGGAATCAAAGCATAAATCGTACCTTATAGTTTTAGTATGTGACTGATCCTAAAGAAATGGAAAAGTAATCACTATTTTTTTCCTTTAAAAAAAAATCTTTAAATCCAAAACAAATTTTCAGTGGGCATCATAGAATACCTTATTAACAAGGATATTTTCTCCCCAGTGTCTTATCATCCTGTTTACCCTTTTGAATCTGATACAGAACAAAACATCACTACAGAAATAAAGCCTAAAATCACTAACTTGCTAGAGTAATGACTTTGACAAAACTGATCAAAATACCTAGGGACACATTTCTTACAGTGAGGGATACAGTGTAAAAAAAATAAACAGAAAACCTTAAAAAAAAAAAAAGGAGCTCTTTGTTAAGGAGATAATTACTGCAATCATTACCACACTGCCTTCTATAACAATTTCAGAAAATTATTTTTAAGGTCATTTTACAAAATTACCTTATCTTATAACCCATCTTTCTTCTTTTTCAACTTTCTCTCCCTTCTCAATTTTATCTCTCTCTCTCCCCTTTTCTTCTCTTTCTCCCCTCTCTCTCTTTGTGCTAGTCCTCTGGTTTAAACTCAAGGTGCTGTCCCTGAACTTTTTTGCCCAAGGCTAGTGTCTACCACTTAAGCCACAACTCCACTTCCAGATTTGTGGTGACTAACTGGAGGTAAGAGTCTCAGACTTTCCTGCACCAGCTGGTTTCAAACAGAGATCCTCAAATCTCAGCCTCCTGAGAAGCTAGAATTACAGATATGAGCAACTGGCAACTTATTCATGGTTTTGTTTTGTTGTTTTTAAATCAATTATTAGTATACAAAATTTACTTCTGTAGAAAAACAAAAACATTTTGAAGCATGTGACTCAGCTGCAGGTCTCCTTGAAAAAAAAGAACGTGCACTGACATTGAATACTTAACTACCATCATTACACTAAAATAAGCCTTCTAAAATGAATGGCCAATTCCAAATATAAAAGCTTGGCACACAATATAACATCTGTCTTATTTTGTAGAGTAAGAAAACTATTTTTCAATATTCTGTAGTAAACAATATATAATTTATTCAGTATTTTAACATTCTTACCATATTACAGAATCCAATATAGCATATTAGCATAATTGGACATGTCCTTTACTATACTGAATATTCAGTTGGATAATCATTTCTTTACTACCTATACACAGGGACAAAAATAAAAGCAAGTTAAGAGACATAGAACCTTACAGACAACTTACCTCTGCAACTTTGAGGAACTCTGAGATTCTTGTCATCCTAGTCAAGAATTTTTTATAGATATCTAGACCTTCTTTGCACTGGTTCTTTTTCATATCAAAATATTTTTCTGCAAAAAGCATTAAAATACTTTTAGTCACAACAAAATGGCACAAGCAATAATATTAATGGTTACAAAAATATTACAATAGTTCTCTCAAAAGACATACAAAATATTTGCATTAAATTTAGATATTTGAAGCAAATTAGAATTGAGGTATTAAAAATAAAAGAATTGTTTGACTTTATTCATTTACAAATTTGCTCCACAATATTCCTTCACAATTTCCTTAAATATATACATATGTTTGCATGAACACACCTCGGACTAGGGGAAAGAGGGTAGGGAGACTGGTAAGAGGGGATGATATTGATTGGAATACATTGTAAAATGTGTGGAAAGATAACAATAAAATGTAAGTTAAAAAAACAGCTCTTCCCCCCGAAACCCATATAATACATACTTTAATCCTATTAAAGCATGCTGGAGGTATGGCTCTGTACTGAGTCGAAACTCTAGTATTGGCAATAAACAACACAACATCTATTTTGTAGTAATATTCACTAAATACATTAGCCTGTCAATGACAACCCTGTTCAAATGTTACTTGGAGCACTCATTTAAATTTAATATGTCAACAGCAGCAAATTGTTTAGTTTATACCAATCATAGGGTGGAAGACTATGCTTTTCACAACTTTACAGGAAATACAACCTCTCATTTTTCACTGAACCCAATTTCCCAACCCTCATGAAATAATGCACTTCTAAATAAATTTGACATAGTGTTATTTTAAAAATTGATTTAAATGAATAATTTCTAAGTGGGTGAAAGTGGAGAAAAGAGGTATACTGGAATAAAAATACTTAACATCTGATACCTGATATGCCAGCACCCTTTGTAGTTACTGTTCTCTCCATGCAGATCCCATTGAGTATTTTTATGTGAAATTAACTTCATCCCAAATATACTGAATCTACACCACCACAAATTCCTAAAAGCCTCAAAGCAAAAGTCACCCATAAAAATTAATGTTTAGCCAGGCACTGGTAGCTCACGCCTGTAATCCTAACTACTCAGGAGGCTGAGATCTGAGGATTGCAGTTCAAAGCCAGCCCCGACAGTAAAGTCTTTGAGACTCTTGTCCACTTAAAACACCAGAAAACCAGAAGTGGCCCTGTGGCTCAAGTGGTAGAGCAAAGAGCTAAGGGACGGCACACCCAGGCACAGAGTTCAAGACCCATAACCGACCAAAAAAAAAAAAAAAAGTTTAATAGGTTAAAAATGATTGGGCTTAAAAGTAAATTTCAGGGGGCTGGGAATGTGACTTAGTGGTAGAGTGTTTGCCTAGCATGCATAAGCCCTGGGTTCAATTTCTCAGTACCATATAAACAGAGAAAGCCTCAAGTGACATTGTGGCTCAAGTGGTAGAGTGCTAGCATTGAACCAAAAAAAAAAAGAAGAAGAAGCTCAGGGACAGTGCCCAGGCCCCTGAGTTCAAGAACCAGGACTGGCAAAAGGAAAAAAAAAAAGGTAAATTTAAGCATAAGTGTACAATTCAGTAGCACATTCTCAGTATCCAAGAGGCTCTCTGTCAGGTAAATCCCCAACAAACCAACTCCCTACAAAAACTAAATAAATTTAGGAAAAAAATAGTTGTACAAAGTTTACTGTAGAACAAATTGAAGAAATAAGACATCTTCCCTATGAGAAAAATATTTTAGGGTTTTTGCCCCACTAAGTCTTTGTAAAATTTACTGCCTTACCCCAACTTAATTTTGAGTTTATTAGTTCTAAAAATCAGTAACATAGATAGAAAATTAATTATATTCTAAAGTATAAATTTCATCTGGCAGGCATCCAAGTTATAAAAATGAGAATTTAATCACTTGTATATATAATCAGGTATAAATTTTTTCCATATAAATTATAATAAATGAACATATATCAATGACTTTTGGCAGCTTTAAATAACAACTTAGTCAATATTACTTATCCACATGACACAGGTAAGAGAAAAAATATAATTAGGTTACAACAGAATTTACCCAACAAATTAATAATTCCTTCATTGTATGCTGCAAATAGTCTAATGGCATCTTTGAATAGAAGCATGAAGGCAGCATTTATTACCCCATTTGTAAGTTCATTGCTATTAACCTAGAAGAAAATGAAAGAAAACAAATTAGCTAATCTTATGTTTCAAATGACACTGACAGAAAGATTTCCTTCCTTCAAATGTATTTTCTTTAATACAAATTATATCTAAATTTTCTAATTTATAAGTTTTATTTCTTGCAATCAGTTAACAAGCAAATATTGCAAAAATCTTACCAAGTGTTCACTTACTCATATGAAAACAAGCAAACAATAACCTGATTTTTAAATATTGAGCTTAGTTCAGAATTATGAGGAAAGTAATGTTTGAAAAATCTAGAATTTAGCTCAACTTTTAATTATAAATTGATCACAATAGTGTTTCCAAGAGCAAAATGATGCCAACTTCTTTAACCTCTTCTTTTTTATACAATATAGCAAACTCTATATCCCCAATCCAAAATGTAGCTCCTTTCTAGATACAAGTTCATATTAACTCATTAAAGGTTTACTGAACTTTTTAAAAAATCATTACATGACCCACTACAATCACTAAGGCACTGAGCTCAGTTAGGCAGAAGACATTTTTGGGGGGTAAGGGGGGTCCGGTTGTGGGACCCGAACTCTGGGCTTGGGCACTGTCCCTCAGCTCTTCAGCTCAAGGCTAGCACTCTACCACTTGAGCTACAGCACCACTTCCAGTTTTCTTCTTTTTTGTTTATGTAGTGCTGAGGAATCGAACCCAGGGCCTCACGCCTGCAAGGCAAGCGCTCTACCACTGAGCCACCTTCCCAGACCCAAGACATATATTTTTTAAGTATATTTTTCCCTAGTATTATATAAACTAAGTTATCTCATAAGGTCACTGGGAGAATTAAATGACAATGAAAAGTCTAGGTATAGTAGCTGACACATACTTATGGATAATATTTTTATAATTCTTATAATTTTATAATTATAATAATTATGTTAAGCAAATAACAGCACTCATTTATCCATCAAATATATTTGAGGGCTAGCGATAGACTACTTGCCTAGAATGCATGAAGACCTGGTTCCAATTACCAGTTCCATTTAAAAAAAACAAAGAAGCTGGGCCCAGTGACTCATGCCTATAATCCCACCTACACAGGACTGGTTTGAAGCTAGCCCTGTCAGGAAAGTCCAGGAGACTCCAATAAACTACCAAAAAGCCAGAAGTGGAACTTTGGCTCAAAACATAAAGAACTAGCCATGAGGGCTGGGAAGGTGGCTCAGTGGTAGAGCACTTGCCTTGCATGCCTGAGGCCCTGGGTTCCATTTCTCAGCACCACATAAGCAAAAAGAAAAAAGCCGGAAGTGGCACTGGGGCTCAAGTGGTAGAGTGCTAGCCTTGAGCTGAAGAGCTGAGGGACAGTGCCCAGGCCCAGGCCCAGGCCCAGAGTTCAGGCCCCCCCCCAAAAAAAGAAAAAAAGAACTAGCCATGAGCAAAGCAGCTCAGGGACAGCACCCATGCCCTGAGTTCAAGCCTCAGGACCAACACACAGACGCACGCACGCACACGAAAAAAGAATGGGTAAAGCAAAATTATTCTAAGTCTATTTCACATAATATTTAGTACATAAAAATTATTTTAATTTTCTGTGATCTTATCTCTGTAGCTGTTCATATGTGAGTATGCCCATGTGTCCTATAGCTATGTATACATATGTGCCCAAGGAGGAAGATTTAACATAGGCAGAGTTGATAAAGAACAACAAGCTGAACAAAAAATAATTATCTATAGATTACCATCTGATTACATTCCCACAGGAAGAATCCTAGCAAGAAAGGTAATTTACAAAAAAGAACAGAAAAAAAAAAACCCAAAACAACATATAGCTAAAAACAAAGAGGTTTAACTTTACATATCAGATAAAATGTAATAATCAAATTCTATTACTACAATATTCTTTGTTAAATAATATCTATCTGAAAGATAGATATTACTCACTGAAGACAGCCTGGCAAGATGCCACATGCATATAATCAGAGCATTTGCTGAGGCATGAGGATGGCCAGTTCAAGGCCAAACATGGCTACACAGCAAGGTTCAGGCCAGCTTGGGCTTCACAGCAAGTTCTCTCCAAATACAAAAACAAACAAACAAAAAAGCTGGGTGCTAGTGGCACATGCCTGTAATCCTAGCTGAGACCTGGAGCCAGAAGTCAATGACAATCTCTAATTAACCAGTAAAATGCCAGACTGAATGTGTGGCTCAAATAGTAGCTCACCAGAGGATTGACCCCCATCTTATTGTCCCAGGCCCACACAGATGCCAGGCAAAATCTCAGGTATGTGTGAATTTGTTTGAAGTACAGGCAGGGTAATCCACCTAAACCCAGCTGTAAACATCCCATTGTGGGCAGAACTGAAAGGCACCCCCACCTTCTTTGACCTAGTGGCTTTTTCATTAACCTTGGCCTCCTTGTGTGGACCTCCTCTAAAAACCCAGCTCCTGTCTCAACTCTCGGGCACAACCTCCAAACCCACAGTAATGTCTGTGCCCCTGGCTGTTCCTCAATAAACAGTCCTCGCTTGAGTCCGCCTATTCCTTTTCCATTCTCCTCCATTTTCCTAACAACCAGCAGAAAGCAAGAAGCCCCAAGGCCTTAGTTCAAGATCCAGTATTGGCATACACACAGAGAAAAAAAAGACCAAGAAGGAAAACAAGCTCATTGACCTGTTGACAGTGGCAACCTTTTCAAGTGCATGTCAGCAATATTTACTACAAACTTACACGTTTATGTCCTTTGAAACATCAAATTCTTTTCAGACAAAGCAGTAATACTACACAAGGTTACAAGGAAGATCAGACTTATCTCTTTGACATAGTATTTAGTACTGAGTTTTAAAAAAATTTTACTTTAAGAAAACAACTTAGTATCAATAGAAGGAACTGGTAAATCATAAACAATGAGGTATAATATAGACATTAAAATGAATAATTTTACAAAGATACAACAGTTTATTAAGTGAAAAAAAACACAGTAGGAACCTCTGAATCTAATGATTTGTGTTGTAGAAAAGGAATCTGAAAGCTACTTTGCAATCCTATGCCTAGCAGAAAAGGAGTGTGAAGCTTTTCTTTGTTTGTAAAGGACATTTGAGGCACTGTACACTGTGACCTCTACTGCTAATATGCAACTATATTACTCAAACACAAAAACAACCGTGGACAGTAAGCAAATCACTGTTTCTGTACTCCTGTAACAATTGTGTGAACACTGAAATTTGAATTTCATATAATTTTTACCTGTCACATCTTAATTATTCTTTCAATGATTTAAAAATGGTAATACTTAGCTCAGTTACACATCATTCTAGGCAATGAAATACAACATTCATTTACAAATGCATAAGCAACTTACATTAAAATCAAGAAGTGCATCCATTTGATTCTGGATAATTGGTACAGTTTTTAAGAGTTTTTCTGTGTTCATTGTTCTCATAACTCCATCAGCCCTATTTATAAAAAACAAAAGTAAGTAAATTTGCTATTAAATCTCTTTGACTCCAACTTTGCTTAATCAAGGGCTATTCTCATACAATTAAAAAAGGTTGTTCCAAGGTTGAGCACAGTGAATCATTCCTACAATCCCAGCAAATTGGGAGGTAAAGACTGGGATCATGGTTTGAGGCTAGCCTAGACAAATAGTAACCCTATTCAACAAAAGCCAGGCATAGTAATATGTATCTATAATTCCAGCTATGCTGAAATCATATGTAGGAAGCCAGTGTGGACAAAAGAACAATATCCTCTCTGAAAAATAACACAAAAATAAATGGAGTTGTGGCTCAAAGCTTTCTGTATTTGATATAGAAATTCATCAACTATTCTCAATCTGAAGACTGGCCCCTTCAAATCAGGGTTGAGTAGGGAGGGAGAGTTCCTATTTTTATACTTGAAATCTACAAATACCTTCACGATCTGGATTACTGAAAACACATTACAGTTAAGTATTAACATAAGCACAAGTGGAAAATAGTTTAATCAACCTATTAATTTGGAAAGGTAACATGAAGCATTTGAGTTCAGTTTTAACTTTTCTTGGATAATTAAATTACTTCTGAGCCGGGCGCCAGCTACTCAGGAAGCTGAGATCTGAGGATCACAGTTCAAAGTCCCCCTGGGCAGGAAAGTCCTGGAGACTCTTATCTCCAATTAACCACCAGAAAACCAGAAGTGGTGCTGTGGCTCAAGTGGTAGAATACTAGCCTTGCGCTGAGGGACAGCGCCCAGGCCCAGAGTTCAAGACCCAACAGAGACAAAAAATAAAACTTACTTCTGTAACTATTTGTTTCAATTGAATAATTTAGACTTTCAAAAGATCAACTGTTGAAATCTCAGGTGAGTTCAGGGAAGGCATTTGTCAGAGTATTTTTGCAGCTACTCAACCTCCCAAACTGGCGTCAAAACGAAGAGGCTATCCCTGTCCTTCAGTGATAAAGTTTCACCTGGTATCAGCCTAATTACTAGGGAAAAAAATCTGCATATCAGATATTATCAGGCTCTGAAGTACTGATCATATATCATTCCTGTGATAAACTCACATGACTATATTGAGGATGCAGCAAAAAAATAAATTTACCTTCTGCACTAAAATTTTGGAATCTTAAGTACAAAAGACAGAAAGAGAATGAAAGATCAATTACTCTTCATAACATACATAAAAATTATTTCATACATGCAACCAAAGTAAAAAATAGAAGAATAAATCAATTTTTTCAGTATTATAAAGTTGTTTTCTTCACAAAACATCATCAATGAAAAAGATAAGCTACAGGAGGAGACAAAGTATTTGCAAATTATGTATGTCACTAGATAGCTGTTATCCAAAATTCATAGTAGTTAATTCACTCTTATGTGTGAGGAGATAATTTCAAAATGCCCAGTGAATGTACTAATATTAAACACTACACAATAAAAAACCAAAACATGTGAGTAAAAGTGCAGTAATAGATACCCTATTCGAAAACATGGTTCATGCTCCAGGACAGAGCAGGACAGCATGAGATTATACAAAGCAACTCAGAACAGTGCACAATTTAAAACATAAATTATTTCAGAAATTTTCCACTTAATATTTTCAGACCACAGTTCAGAGGGTAACTAAAACTGCAGAAGAGTAGAGGAGAATACTTTGCAATTTAGCAAGGAAAATATTTAACTTAATTTTAATAAAGCGCAAGGGATTTGAAAATCATTTTTCCAAACAAGATATACAAAAGGCTAATAATACTCGCTATCATTTTCCACTCAAGAAAGGCAAAACAAAAAATCAGAATATATCTTATTTCACTCGTTATCATGGCTACAATTAGACAAACAAAAAAAATTAATTTTAGTAAAGATTATGGAGAAATTGAATGCTAATGCATTTCTGAGAGAAATGTAAAATGGTTTTAAATGCTTTGAAAAACAACTCTAAAACTAAGAGTCAGCATATCATCTAGCAATTCCACTCCTGTATATGCAAGAGAAGTGGATATTCTAAATCGTGTACATTAATGCTGAGAGCAATGTTTTTCCCTAATATCAAGATACCTCACTCAATTGTCCATCTGTTGATCAGATAAGAATATAGTTTAGGGCTGGGAAGGTGGCTCAGTGGTAAAGTGTTTGCCTTGCATGCCTGAGGCCCTGGGTTCCATTCCTCAGCACCACATAAGCAAAAAGAAAAAAG